GGGGCTGGCTGGCGGGGGCGGGGCGTAGGGCGAGTCGGCTGGCTGGGGCGGGGCGGGGCGTCGCGTCGCTGGGCCCCGCGCAGCCCAGGAGCAGACTGTTTGCCCCCGACTCTGGCCGCGGAGCCCTTTCTAGCCTCTCAACCCTCCGCAGCCTTCCAGGGGCTACAGCGACTGCAGCCTAAAGGCACGAAGAAACCCTCTTTACGTTCCGCGGGGTGTGCTGGGCCGAGGGGTTGCATGGCGCCAGGAAGGAGGCCTGGAGCCCTCGAAGCCTTCCCAGACCAGGCCAGGGGGGTCAGGCTCAGAGCGCACTGCCCTCTTTGGGGGGTTCACTGAACTACTCGCCCTTCAGGGCCCCACCCTACATTGCCCTCCCTGCCAGCTCTGGCATCTGATGTCTCCGTGCAGTTATGGAGAGGGGAAATAAGTCCAGGAGACCCGTCTTGGGCTGCCCTGGTCTCCAAGCCATGCCCGATCTTGCAAGCTTTCTCAATACTGGGATAGAAGGCACACTGGCCTGGAGAGGAGCGGCCTTGGGGCCCAGACACCAGGCTCAGCCCCAGGAGGGAGAGGTGGGGACGGCTGACCAGGGGCAGTCTGGAAGAACCGGGACAGCAGGGCCTGCCGCCCTGGAGAGGTGAGGGCCTGGGGGGTAGGTGCCCAGCCATCCAGATCAGGCCCGAGTCCAGGTTCTAAACGTCCCCTTGGTGACGTGGCTGAACTTTCTTCTCTGTCTGGCCTGTTTCAGAAGAGACATTCCTCCGCTGAATCTCACGCTGGCCTGCACTTCCCAGGGTCAGCAGCTGTCCCCATGGACAAGCTCTCTCTTTCCCACTGCATGTCCCTGGTCCCTGTCCTGTAGCGCGCAGGTGCTGCTGAACTTTTTTTTTGGAGAGGTTTTTGCTAAAGGGTGCGTGTGCGCTCGCCAGAGACAAGGAGACAGGAAGCGAGAAATCATCCCCCAGGGTGGCTGCCACAATCCCTCCTCCTCATTCTCCTCTCGGGATCTTGGGCACGCACGCACACACGCCCGGCGTGAGTTTAAGCCACTGGGTTTGGGACTCGAACCGCGGGTGACTACCTGGGAGTCCAGCGATATAGCCACTATGCTGACTGCTGGTCCCTGCTGCTGAACTCTTAATCAGTGCTAATATTTACCAGCTGGTTTTGTATTTTCTAAGTAGCAATCTGACCACCATGATGTTATTTTTTTAATGTGAGACTGTGGACTGTCATGACTTTTCCAACAACCCAGTAATTCCTTTCTCGTCCCCGCCCCGCTGCTTTCTTTCGGAACCTGGGTCTCCAGTACAGAGCTGTTTGGTACTGATGCTATCCATGCAAGAGACTGTTTCCAATTTCAACCAAGGAAACGACCAGGGCTGACTTCTCCCACCTCAGTCTTGCCGAAAACCAACCAGGAGCACCTCGTTTAGTATCTAAACAGTGCTTTATTGGAAAAGGTTAGCTTAAATGGATACAAAATTGCTGTGGAAAATAAGTGTTTACAAAATACGTCTCTATAGGGAGAGATTATCTCTTAGTAAAGGAGCACTTATCTGTTAGCAAAAGTACATGTTTAGATTTGGGTAGCAAAGTCCGGGCTTTCAGAAGTTAGGTGTCCCCCACCCCAGTACCCATTACTAGGTGGAAGCTGGCCCTCAGTAGACACCGCCAGGGTGGGCCTGGGCATGCTCATCCTCCCTCTTTCCTTCCAGCATCTTCCAGTTTAATTACCAGCTGCTCAGATGCATTCCACATTCCTGAACACCCTTCCTAGGTGAGAACTTCACGTGATGACTTTCGACATATGCCTGGTGCCCTCTGATGGAGCATTCTCTATGTCAACTTCTCACGTTTTAGTAAAAGGAAAATAATGCACCAGCACCTGCTCCCTCCACACCGTGGTGACTGTTCAGGTCATTTCTCCCCCTGGAGTAAACTGCGCAAGTCCAGGAGGGAAAGGCGGAAGGCGAGGGCCAGGCCACGGCGCAGCGAGCGGACCACGCAGCAGTGACGGGCTCCGCAAGCAGCCTGTGTGACACATGAAGTCAGAGCACACGATGTGGAAGGCAGTGACGGTGGGGACAGGAGAGGGAGCGGCACATGGCACGCCATCCCTGCTGCTTCGGTCCCACCCAACGCCACTGTGAGGGAAGGCAGGAGCCCGCACCAGGAAACCGGGCAGGCACGTGGGCCTCCTGGGGTTCCGGTGGCACAGGGCACGCTGGCCCAAGGACCCCACTGTGCACTGCGGAGGCAGGCCTTCTGCCCCGGCGGTCATAGAAAATGCAGTATGGCATGGGTGAGATGTACAAAGGTTGGTCTCTGAGTGGGCCCACTGCTAAGACTCCCTGATCAGTCATGCCCCAGTTCAGTGGCAGGGGACACTCGCCACCTCTGCTGGTAAGAGTCTCAGGGCAGTGTGTGGCTGGAGCTCCCAGCTGCTCTGTTTCCTGCACAGCAGTGGAGCCAGGGGGACCACTGCCAAGACCGACCTGGCGTTCTGAAGGTACCCAGCATCAGACTCTGGAGACTTAAGACTCACCCCCGAAGCCTGCTGTAAAAAAGCCACTGAAGCGTGCACGAGTGTCGTCAGGTAACCGTTCCGGCTCACCTGGCTACAGGGATACGTGTGGACGAGGGCACCGCTGCCCAGAACAGCCTGGAGGTGGCGGGGAGAGGGCGGGAGCCTTCCCAGGGCGGGCTCGCCGAGGACGGTGGCCTTGTGCCAGGCAGGGCAGCACTGTGCACACCCACGATGCCCTACCCCCGGGAGCACCGCGATGGCACCACCGTTCTGGCTACAGCCGGCAGGTACGGCGTCAGCCCTGCCAGCCAAGTCTGGCCGCCCTGAGAACCACCCTAACGTTAGCGGTTAACCGAGGAAGAAGGAAATGCAAGGGAAAGTGAGCCTCACGAAGGGGACAGTGAGACACGAGTACAAGTGTTACAGCTCCATACACCAGGTACATCGCAGGTGAGAGAGGCGCTCCAGGCACATTGCAGGTGAGAGAGGCGCTCCAGGCACAGCGCAGGTGAGAGAGGCGCTCCAGGCACAGCAGTGCGGTGTGGACGGGCTCCCCCGCAGGCACAGGAGGCGGCTGGCTGTTCGCCCCTCCGGAGCGTCTTCGCGTTGTGCCAGGAAAAACGCTTCCTAGGAAAACAGAATATAGCACAGGTCAGGGGCCACACAGTGCTTGCCACGGCCATCCTGGATCGCTTCCCTGCCTCTGTGCCCTGACACACTGCCAGGTCTGCCCATTGGGCCCAACCGCCGACTCTGTCGACGGCACTGGGAGACCCTGGAAATTGCAAAAGCGGTTAACCTCATGAGTATGCAGAAGTAAAAACCAGTCTGAAGTACAATTTCCCTAATTCTGTGACATTTTTAAAAGAGAGAGGTAGCGAGACCAGAGATGGGGTGTACCTGTCACCTACTCTGCCTCAAAGCTGCCCCAGCCAGAAGCCCTGCTCCCCTTGCCGCACCCTCCCCCCCGGCAGTGCCCGATCGGGTTGTGCAGGGTGACAGGAGGCTCTGACCCTGGTGACAGCGACTCCTCCGGCACACCAAGCCTACTCCTAAGGCGTCAACGTGATGCTCAAAGCAAAGCACCACCCGGAACGGGGTGCCTGTGCTGCCCGACCCCATACAGGACCTGGACCCAGGTATTTGGTGCCTCTGGACACACACATTTGCCTCACAAGCAGCGCTGTCTTGGAGGCCGAGGCCCAGCACCCCGTGGGCCTCCCTGAGCCCTGTCCCTTGGCTGGCGAGGCCTCGGACTGGCCTGCTGTGTCACAGCACTCAGGCCACCTTCCTGGTACGGGGGCGCTCCCACACTGCCAGGGGGAGGCCTTTTTTTTTCCTCCCAGATCTTTCAGGCCAAGCCCCATCTCCTGTACCTCCGCCCTCCCTCCAGGTGCCTGCACTCTCTTGGGAATGGACTCTGCCCAAAGCTGTCCCCGCCTCTGGAAGCGAGGGGAGTGGCACCCGGACTGCTGCCCTCTTCCCAGTGCTGCCTGCAGCCCTCTAGAGACGCCTCCCTCCCATTTTCTGTGAACGTGGCCAGAGGGCCCAGTGCTCACTGGGGACAGTGAGAGGGAGCAAGAGCACCTCCTGCAGGCAGCGTCACGCCACAGTCCCTTCTCCATCCTGTCAGGACTCCGGGCACGCATGCACACACCCAGCCTGTGTTTTAAGACAGAGAATTTTGCTATAGGGAGCATGTGATAGCAGGAGAGACAGAAAGCGAGAAATCACCCCTTGGGGTTGCCTGCCTAGCCCCTTCTCCCCATTCTCTTGGGTAACCCCTATATGCACACACACCCAGCATGAGTTTTAAGTTGCTGGGTTCAGGGGCTAGCAGGTGGTGTGGTGGTTAAGAGCACTAGACTCTTATATAACCGTGATTTGAGCCCCAGACCTGGTGGCTTGCGTTTTCACTTTCCCTCCCTCCCTCTCTGGTCAAATTAGAAAAAAAAAAAAAAAAAAGGAAGTTAAAATAAAATAAAAATAAAATAACTTTAAAAAAACAAAAAACAAAATAAATCTTTTTTTTTTTTTTTTTTTTTGGGCCTTAAGGGCT